CAAGTATATCCCCTGCCGCTTATGAAAGACCTGCTCACTCATTTGGCGGCTGGGAAAATCTTCACAAAACTAGACCTCCGTGAGGCATACTATAGGGTACGCATTAGGCAAGGGGACGAGTGGAAGACAGCATTTAACTGTCCCCTGGGCAGCTACCAATTCAAGGTGATGCCTTTCGGGTTACAAGGAGCGCCGGCCGTCTTCATGCAACTAATAAATGAAGTATTACATGATCATCTATATAGGGGCGTCCTTGTCTATCTGGATGATATACTCATCTATTCGCAGACGTTAGAAGACCATGTACAATTAGTACGGACAGTACTGCAAAAGTTGTTAAACGCCAACCTGTACTGTAAGCTGTCAAAGTGCGAGTTTCACAAAGACCGGATAGATTATTTAGGGTTCAGGGTGTCAGCTATGGGGATAGAAATGGATCCTAATAAAGTGCGCAGTGTTCTAGAATGGCAGGCCCCGAGGACCCGTCGTCAACTGCAGAGGTTCTTGGGGTTTGCCAATTTCTACCGCCAATTCATCCCCTCTTTCGCTGATGTGGCTCCACCATTAACTCAATTGTTGCGCACCAAAACCACACCTGGCAAACCCCATCCCAAACAGGCATTGGAATGGACGGTAGCTTGCCAACGGGCCTTCGAGTCTCTTAAACGACTATTCGCAGAGGAACCAGTGCTATTGCACCCCGACCCAAATAAGCCATTTATAGTGCAGGCCGACGCTAGTGATGTGGCTGTTGGCGCACTCTTGATGCAACATAACGGCCAAGGCAACTTGCAACCGTGCGCATACACCTCCAAGAAGTTTACCGACCCCGAGAGACGATGGGCAGTGTGGGAGAAAGAAGCATTTGCGATAAAATGGGCGTTGTCCACCTGGCGACATCTATTGGAGGGTGCGCAACACCCATTCGAGGTGTGGACGGACCACCGGAACCTGGCGGTCCTCCAGACTCCAAGGCGATTGGCGCCGAAACACGTTCGATGGGCGCAGTATTTTCAGCGTTTCCGGTTTCACCTGAAGGTGGTGCCCGGAGGAAAGAACTTCCTAGCAGACGCACTCTCCCGGCTACCACAATATGATAGTAAAAAGGAACAAGTGATCCAGACCATTATGCCGCTATGTAGTAGGGATCCCGCACACGTAGAAGGATGTGCCAAAGTGGTGACGTTTGAGGAGGAACTGCAAACTGTATTGTTGACCGATCCCTGGTTGCAGGCGAATCCCGGGTTACGGAAGGACATTGAGCGATACGTTAAGGAATGTAGGATTTGCGCGCAGTCTAAAGTGGTACCGAAGAGGCCAATGGGACTGCTACAACCGGTATCTAATCCGATCCGACCCTGGCAGGACATCGGGATGGATTTCCTTGTTGATTTACCGAACATCAGAGGGTACACGGTCATATGGACGGTTGTGGACTTGTTCTCGAAGCAAGCACATTTCGTCCCCTGCAAAGGACTGCCATCTGCGAGGGGACTAGTGACATTGTTCGTGCAACACATATATAGATTACATGGAGCACCCCATAGAATTATCTCGGACAGGGGTGTTCAATTTACGGCTCAATTCTGGCGTAGATTCCTAGCAAGCATTGGGACCACACAAGGCCTGAGTTCAGCATACCATCCTTGCACTAATGGGGCGGCGGAACGGGCTAATGCGGCAATCTCACGATATCTCCGGTCTTATGTATCTCACCAACAGTCAGATTGGATAGACTTCATACCATTCGCGGAACTAGCGTATAACAACGCAGTGCATAAAAGCACCGGGTTGACCCCTTTCCAAGTAGTTTATGGATACGATCCGGTTCCATTACCTGGGGCTGAACCACAGGGGGGTACAGATATACGTCCTGGAGATTGGATGTCCCGTGCAGGTCAGGTGTGGAGTACAGTGAAACAGGCGTTACAACATGCGGAAAAGGCAGTGAAGGAGCAAGCAGATAAAAGTCGTAGAAGGGCAATGCACCTGAGAGTGGGTGACCGGGTGTACTTGTCCACCAAGTATATTAAGTTGCAGGTACCATGCAAGAAACTGGCACCAAAATACATTGGACCATTCCGCATAGTACGTATCATCAATCCTGTTACGGTGCAACTGCAATTGCCAGGAGTACTTGGTAAGATACACCCAGTATTTCATGTGAGTCTATTAAAACCAGTAGAAGGGACCACCCATGATGAACCTCCCCCAGGGCCCGTTGCCCCGGGAAGGTATGAAATACAGGACATACTGGATTCCCGGTGGAGGGGGGGCGATATGTATTATCTGGTTCTATGGAAAGGATACCCCTTATCCGAGGCATCCTGGGTTCGGGAGGGGGATGTCTTCGCTCCTGCCCTGATTCGTCAATATCACAGGCTGTGGCCACACAAACCGAGGAACACAGGGGGATAGGTGATAGCATACGTGAATGTCTCTGTTTCATTTCAGGGGGCCCTGTGGTGAGGGGGAGCCGGATGTCAGCCCCAGCGTGCATCCTACCCATGTACGGACGTTGGCCGGTCTCCGGAGCTCTGAACCGACTTCCGAACAGCCTTGGTGGAGCCGGAGCTCTGAACCGACTTCCGAACAGCCTTGGTGGAGCCGGACGCGGAGCAGTGTCGGGACTAATACCGGCGCTTCCGCTATGACGGAGGAACCACGTGGCTGCTTACTCTATTGCACGGGAAGCCCGGATGAACAGACATTATGTGGGCGGACAGCGCTGATTTATGACGCTGGGTCTGACAGAATGTAATTGATAGGATGATGATAGGGTGTGGTGCAGATGGGGTTGCGTTCAGCAGGGGTAATTAGGTAATTGGGGTGATTGGGGCGTGCGCGGTGGGTGTGGTGATGGGATTAATAGGACGCTGGGCTGGGGTGTTTCCCAGAGCTGATTTTGTTTTCGACATAGCGAAATAAACCTTTGTTGACTACTGAAACGTACCTGGTGTTCTGGTTGATTCTTACAGCAGCAGGACGTTCTTACACTATGATGACAGAAATGGGGAGGCTGTGATACAGTGGGCAGATTTGAATAACCTGGCTCTTTTGCATGACAACAAATTATTAGCTTCAACAGTGGAAAGAAGCCCAGGGGATAGAACCCAGACTTGATATTAGCCTGCCTAGTCTGGTATAAATCAGCACATGCTGGGAAAATAGATGTTGCTTTGAATGAAGCTAGCAGAATTATTACAGGATGCCTTAAACCTATCTCTCTAGATAAGATCTACCACCTAGCTGACATTGCTCTGCCTGCTGTGTGCAGAGAAGCAGCAGCATACAGAAAGAAACTCAAATCATCACTATCTAGACAACAATCTTTCTATGGCTTACAACCAGCAATCAGAGATTAGGACCTAGGAAAAGCTTCCTTAGGTTAATGGAAGACTTTGAAGAATTTGAAAGCAGAGTGGACTATGGAAAGCTACAATGAACCAACACTGGATGGAAACAATGGAGGAGCTGGCCCTTGGGTCTGACAAAAGCTGGGAAGTATGGAAATTATTGAATAGACTGTGCAGAAGATCCAGGGACACTCTGAACAAATGGGACTATTTTGTGGCTTCTGCTCTTTGCTATTGCGACAGGCAGACAACACAATTCTATACCTGCCTTTTGTGTCCCGATCAGTGTATACTTGAGGACCTTGTGTTGGTGCAACAGAACACAATTAATGTTGCTAGTTTCTGGGCAAGATCTGTTTAATTTGTACATATTTTAATCTTGTATTTTATATTTTAAATTTATATCGTATAGTATGCCTTATTTTAATTGTGATGCTTCTGACACAAATAAACAAACAAACTTCTGATTTCATTTATGGTCAATAGGATGAATAGACCTCAAAGATAAGGACAATGGGAGATGATATAGTATGAAATTAGAAGTTGGGAGGTAAGATTGAACATGTTCCTGGTCTTAGTAGTATGAGAAGCGATATGGATTGTGCAATCCCTACACTATCATCTTGATGCCAGGTCAATTAAAAACAAATTTATCTCATATTCGAGGAAAAAATACATTTGGCAAGTATGAAATTTGGACAGTTACCAAGCTGGCTTTGATCTAATCATGAGTGTATCAAGTATTTCCCTTAATAAAGTGCAACTTTGCTAGCTTGGCACCCTCTAGTTATGTTGCAATTATAACTCTCACAGTTCCACTCACATGGCTTTTAACCATGTTGGGGATTTGAAGGAGCTGTAAGTACAATATATCTGAAGGAGTTCAGAATTGGAAGATTATATAATGTCTATATAACTGGTGTTCCTTTGTGAAAAAAAGTGATGGTCTCAAGGCCTTTCCAGAACATGGGAGACTACAATAGTTATGCTGAGTCTAATATGATTTGGCATAAAATTCACAGTCCTCATTATTTCATCTCATCAGCAATCCTGGGAGAAATATTTTACATGCATACATACAGATGACACAGGAAGGTTCTTGATATGTTTTGAGCATTTTGAGCTATGGGTTTGGATGACTGTTTCAGTTGCTTTGGGATGCTTCATACAGTCATATTTGTTGGGGAACAAACCAGAGTCAAATTTATATATCAAATAATTGGAAGAATGTAGAACAGAACAATCCCTGAACTAGAACTGGATCACTTTAAGCTGCAAACATTCATTATAGTACCGAATTATGACCTACTTGTGTTGTGATTATTGCTACTGTGTTTTTTTCTTCTTCACATCATTCATTATTTTAGTCCAAAACTATCATTATCATTGAGTTTCCATTACTGATTTAGCAAGCACTATATTTAATTGGTTGAATATCTCCCATTGATAGCTAATGCCCACGTGTTATAATGACTGTTACACTTTTTTTCTGGGCTGAATCTGTTTTCCATTGCATAGTGCTATTTTGGCTACATAGAAGATAGCACATGGAATCATAGGAATAGACAACAGGAAAATACATCATACAATCTGGTGAACTAGGGCACAGTATCAAATATCTCAAACCAGATATTTTCAACTTACTGCTCTTAAATGGTTCTATTGTCTGATTATGAACTTCTGTCCATTTCTTCCCAGTGTTGCAAGACACAACCAAGAAAAGAGGGTCGATAATAGCCAAGCTGTAATCCTAAAAACAAATATAGCACTGTTAATTAAGAACAGAACCACTTAAACTATCACAGGTGTTGCAAAGAACAGTACATAAAACGAAAATATATCAGATGATGTTCCATAAACTCATGATAAGTATGGCTACTAAATGTACTAAATGCTACTAAATTAGAATTGGAGATTTACTGTTCAGTTACATAATTTGCAAGGAAACATTCACACAGACATACTGTAATACTATAGCAGGTCACCTCCACAACAGACCTGTAAAGGGATGCATTTTTGTGTGTGCTGTGTATCTTGATACATACTTCACAATTTCAAAAAGTGTCTTTAAATAATTTTAATTAATGTCCCTAGAGCTGGATTGAATTTTTTTGGGGAAAACCATGATTTTGATATTGTTACTATAAATTTTGGTTTTTCTATGTAGACTTATAGTAATCTATTCCACATGGACTTTTTGAAGAAGGTTTGAAAGCTGTAATTGGTTCAGAATATGATCCAGACTTCTGTTGAAAATCAGGTGACCCCTATTTTTTAGCATATTAATTTAATGTGCTTTAAAAATATGCGGTCTTTACTAGTTCTGGTTTATTTGGGATGTAAACTTAACCAATTTCTTTTAAAGTCCTAAATATTTTGTATAGAGGAAGCTTAAAATTGTGTCTATCTGTTCAATTATTCCAGAGTATCCAGGCAAATATGGATATCTAAATTGAGATTCTCAATAGAAGAGGATGTGGATTCAGAGATGAGACTTTCTTCTCAGTTATGAAAATATGCTAGCCTGAATCTCAGTTCCATCCCTCATTCCTAATCTGAAATTAGGCTGGCATTCATAAGAGAGAAAGGACCTTCTTTGTAATGGCATCTTCGTTCTGAATGAATTTCCTTTCCCTGAAACTGTATTTTAATTCCTTTTCCTAAAAAGATTATGAAGACAAATTTTACAACTCTTAATTTTGATGATATTTTGTGTCATATAATAATAATAATAATAATAACAACAACAACAACAACAACAACAATAATAATAATAATAATAATAATAATAATAATAATAATAATAATAATAATAATAATAATAAAGTTGGAAGGGACCTTGGAGGTCATCGAGTCCAACCCCCTGCTCAGGCAGGAACCCTATACCATTTCAGACAAATGGCTGTCCAGTCTCTTCTTAAAAACTTCCAGTGTTGGAGCATTCACCGCTTCTGGAGGCAGGTTGTTCCACTGGTTAATTGTTCTAACTGTCAGGAAGTTTCTCCTTAGTTCTAGGTTGCTTCTCTCCTTGATTAGTTTCCATCCGTTGCTTCTTGTCCTGCCTTCAGGTGCTTTGGAGAATAGCTTAACTCCCTCTTCTTTGTGGTAGCCTCTGAGATATTGGAACACTGCTATCATGCCTCCCCTCATCTTTCTCTTCATTAGACTAGACATACCCAATTCCAGCAGCCGTTCCTTATATGATTTAGCCTCCAGTACCCTAATCGTCTTCGTTGCTCTTCTCTGTACTTTCTAGAGTCTCAACATCTTTTTTACATTCCGGTGACCAAAACTGGATGCAGTATTCCAAGTGTGGCCTTACCAAGGTATTGTAAAGTGGTATTAACACTTCACGTGATCTTGATTCTATTCCTCTGTTAATGCAGCCCAGCACTGTGTTGGCCTTTTTGGCAGTTGCAGCACACTGCTGGCTCATATTTAAGTGATTGTCCACTAGGACTCCGAGGTCCCTGTCACAGTTACTACTATTGAACAACTTTCTATTCATTTTTTTCTCTAATGAATGTTTTGTGGAAATGTGTTAATAATTGTTTTTACTGATGGAGAGATGGTGTTTGCATGTTTAATTGTACATTTAAACATTATTCTTAATTTATCAATTGGGATATTAGCTTTGAATTCAATTTCTATTGAAATAAGTAAATAAAATCATCATATGCTTAAAAGTCTGGTGGCTTTGGTGATAGTTGACATATTCTTTTTTCCTTTTGACCAAAGGAAAGGGAATGGATCAAAGAGAAGAAGAATTTAGAGTGGTATATATATGGTATATATATAATACCTGAGTCTTCACATACCAACATCAGTAAACAAGTCAAATTATTATTGAAACAGAGATTTCAGCCCTATATCCTGAAATGAGACAATTTTAATATACAGAAATATTAAGTCAAATAATTTTTGGTGTTAGAAGATTAATTGATTAATCAATTTGTAGCTTTAAATGTGCTTCATCAAATACTGTTTTTTTTCAGCATCATATACTGAGAACAGCTGTTGTAAAAAGCTGTTAGCCAGGATTTTGTAAAAGGATTGCTTACCTCAAGAATCAACTTACAACTCCTTATGCTTGTACCATTCATTTGACATGTCTTAGGTGGTTTCCTGCAAAGAAGAGTTGTCATAAGGCACACAAATTTCTAAATTTTGCACATAAACAATTCATTCACACAATGCAATATAGCAGTTGTAGGATCAGATAACTCACATGCAGGAATAGGTTTAATTTAACATCACTGATAGAATTATTCACTAGCCAGGCCCAATTCAGAATATTGAATGTATCATAATTTCAAAATGAAATAGATAAATAGATATCTCTCAGTTTATATTTTAAAATTAACTGAGGAGATCTTGCCATTTGGTCCTATGGTGTGACAGCTTGAAGCTGAACTTTATTAAAGGCAGCATTCCAACCATGGATTTTGGGAGAAGTATATAGGAAAATCATATTTTTTCACAATCTTTAGAAGTGCAATCTGGCTACAGGCAGTGCTTTTTTTCTAAAAAAAAAAAAAAAAGTGCCGGAACTCACACACGTCATACAACCCGCCTTGCCTACCCTACAAGGTTCCATCCAAAAAAGGTGCTGGAACTCCGTTCTGGGTGTTCTATGATAAAAAAAGCCCTGGCTATAGGGCTACTATTTTTGAAATGATATTTTTTTGTGTTTTAATTCTGGTGTGGTAGTACTTCATTTGTATTGTAAACCTCCTGGATCTTTTGAAAGGCAAGGCAGCATCTGAGCAAAATACATAATAAAGCATGCCTCCAACTCTTTTCAGATAAATCATGTTCAGATGCCAGTCTGCCATTCTCATTTTAGATACTTCAGATAGCAAGTTTACTTTTGAATCACAGCAAATTATAGAACCATATGAACATTTTAATGCATTAATTTCAAAATGACAAATTTTAAAGCATAAGTTTAAATATTTTATAAAACTAATAGGCAGGTATAACAAAAGCAAAGCCAGTTTGCTTAGGAACAAGGCCAGTTGGATAACACAGAATAACAGAATTGGAAGGAACCTTCTAATCCAACCCCCTGCTCAAGCAGGAAACTCTATACTCTCTCTCAACTTTGGGAGTTAGCAATGTCAAACCACTTCTGAAATCTTGTCAAAAAACTCTGCAGTGATTGCAGGGACTCATACAGTCAGTGACTGAAAGGCAGCCCTCCTCTAAATAATAATAGTAACACAGATAATTTTAAAATAACAATCCATAATCTAAATCTATACATCTCAATATCAATCACTTTAAGATGTGTGTATTTCGATTCCAGTGGTTCACCTCTTTCCTCAGGAATCATTTCTAATTGGTGTTGATAGGGGAAATGATCCCATTCATGCCCCCTTACATGACTCAACATTTTCATCTCTTCTGTTCGACATCTACTTGAAACCAAGGCTAAAGTCATCAGACAGTTTGGGGTGCCCTATCAACACCATATCATTCTGATGATACATAGCTTTGCATTTCAATCATGAATGGCACAGGTGAAGCTGTCACTGTATTGACATGTTCGGAGGTCTGGATGGGACAGAACAGACTTCAGCTGATTTTGAACAAGACTGAGTGCTGTAGCTGTTTGGATTCCTAATGTTGGGAATATTACCATCCTTGGTCTTCGATGGGGCTGAACTTCTAGTCCAGGAATAGGGAACCTCGGTTCTTTTATGACTTTTGGACTTCAACTCCCAGAATTCTTGAGTCAGCATGGCTGGTTCAGGAATTCTGGGTATTGAAGTCCACAAGTCATAAAAGAGCCAAGGTTCCCTATCCCTGTTCTAGACTAATGTACAACTTGGGTCTTTCTGGACTTGCAACTACTGCTCAAAAAGCAAGTGGCAGTTGTGGCCAGGAGGGCCTTTGCAGAGGTTCATCTTGTGCATCCGTTGCAGACTTTCCACAATTGGGAGGCCTTCCAGTTACTCATGCCCTGGTCACCTCATAACTGGATAATTTCAATGTGCTCTACATGGGGCTGCCCTTGAAGACAACCAGACAACTACAGCTGGTTCAAAATTCACCAGGGTAAGTAGTAACAAGGTTAAGGTCAGTGTGCTGCTGCTACTCAAGCTGCCAATCTACTTTCTGAGAGCAATGCAAAGTGCTGGTTATTACTTCTAATGCCCTGCTTGGCATAGGACCTATGAGAGACACCTTGTCTCCAATCATTTCTTCCCACCCACTATATTCCAACAGAGTTGGTTACTCCAAGTCCTTTCTGTTAAACACTGTCATGTTGTGGGACTTAGGAAGTGTGCCTTCTTTGTTGCAGCCCCTGAAATATCATCATGTCACAGATAACAATGGTGTCCTCTCTCTCCTAACAGAATGGGACAACTTGCCACAGCCAACTCGCTGCAGTCAACTCGTTATAGGACAATTTAACAAATACAAAAGTTGAATTAATTTTGATGGAACCGTTGCCAATAATAATAAAGTAAATCCAGAAAACAAGAGATACAATGCTTTTGACAAAAATGTGGTCACCAATAATAAAAGTAACTGAATGAAATAATATAGCATTGAATTGTCCCGCATCAAGTTGTCCTTCCATGAGTTGGCCATGGCAAGTTGGTCATGGCAAGTTGGTCGTGGCGAGTTGATTGTGGTGAGTTATCTTAGACCCTTCTCTTAGCTTCAGAAAGCTTTGAAAACCTGGTTTTGTTACCAGATCTGGGTTTGATGCTGATGATTTGTTTAAGGTCTCTGTTTTGTTTTGCTGATTATGTCATTTATTAAATTATTTTAGTCTGGACTGTCTATCTGATTTTATATTTTCAGCTGTTTGGGGTATTTTTCTAGTTTGTACATATCCCAGAATCCACTGGAGTTGGGCAGCTAATTCATCTAAATGAATATATAGTAAAATAATATCAAGATTTCCCCAGCGAACATGGGGAACACCACACATTTTAAACTTGCCAAGGTTGAGAAATCTTGTTTACAGTTTACAATATTGTCAATTGTGTTACAAGTTAATTTGTTAAACTTTTAATTGAAGAATAACTTACCCCAAATTAAAAATACTAAAAAAACTGAGCTTAACTATTTTAATGGAGACACATATGAAAAGGTTTTACTATTACCCGCAAAATTGATGTTGATCTCTTGGAGTGGTTATTATCCACATTTTGAGAATCTCAGGCACTAATAAAATACTTATAAGACAGAAATTGCAAATTGTTAAGGTGCAGGGGCATAAGTATTCAGAGTCAAGATTTTCCTTAGAGTATTGAGGACAATATGCTCGGTGGCTTTGTGAAAGTCACTGGAAACCAATATTCTATATACTGTATTTCTTTGACAAGAGATTAGATGATTTTTTTTCCATTGATGGATGACTTGAATAGACCTAGGACAAGGCAAATTGGTTTTTATCTTCTAAATATATTTTCCTGATTACTTACCCATAGTCGACTGAAGCAGTGAGTTGGCATTGCCCTTTCATAGCATTTTTCACAGGGATCCAGGTACAAATGACCGTCTCAAATGAGTCATATAAACAATCCAGATTTGAAGATTCTGCTAGTACAGAGGTGAAAATCTGTTGTGTTATTTCATTCTGTGTTATGTGAAACTCACCGTGCGAGGCAGTTCTGCTAAGTGGACAAAAGAAGACTTGTTCCCTAACTCTTTTTTCTTTTTAGTGGATGAGCAGATTTGGATATTGGAAAAGATATTATGGATATGGGCAATCATAGGGCAAACCTTTGGTTATGAAAGAAATCTTCATGATATCATGGGGTACTTTTTTTTTAACCAATGATGGGTGAGCAACTGTGTCACCCTTTACTGTTTTTCTTATAAACAGTTCTGAGATGTTGATTTCAATAACAAATTATATAAATTGCTTCTGGTACTTGGTCTGCTTTTTCTCATGGAAACCTCATACCCTGCTTCTATTCCTTCTGCCCTTCCTTGCATTATATAAATTATTAGCTTCCCCTATCCCTATTCACTTACTTGAACCATATTTCCCTAATTCAGTTTGGGTCAGAAAGCAGTGGGATAGTTCTGCTTATTTATAAAGATAAATGTGGGATAAAACTTCTCCCACCAATCAGTCCATTCAATTCATCCACTTCCACGCTGTCCCTGGAACCCTTTTCTTCTCTTCCTTTCATATCACACTGAACAAGAAGAAAGAGTTGAGGCTCAATATCTTGGCATCTTCCAAAGCAAGGGCCCCACTACCCACCATGATACTTAGTTAGCTGAGTTATATCACCACCCTATTACTTTGCTGGGCCCTGTAAGTAAACAGTTAGAAGAACAAGATGAAAGAAGCATTAGCTTCCACTCATTTTGCTGCCTTCTTCTAAGTTTGAGTCATAAAGAGAAGGCAAACAAATGGATAAAAATACTACCATCAAGCAACAAAGCAAAGGGGCTCACTGATTGCATCTTTACTCAGGGATCCCTTTATAAAACCTGCAGATGGCTGAGCACTGGGTTTAGAAGATCTCTTAGCTGAACCATTGTACCTGCAGAATATACAATGATTTTATGGTAGTATTTTGCATTGGGAATTTGGGATCTCAGGAGTACAACTTGAATACTACTAACTTAGCTTTTGTCACTGACATAACTCTAGTATTCATTCTGAAATATGTACAGAAATCAAACTTACTCTGCCTGTCTCCTGATGCTTGGAAGAATGAAATAATGTAGAGCAGAATGAGCAGGCAGGTCTCCATAACCACAGATTTCGAAGACTAAGGGAAATAAAAGAAGCAATCTCAATGAATCTCAACTGCAACAGTGTGCATATTTCAATTCACACACTCATCCATTTCATTTATTCATTCATTCTCTGGAAATGCACAGGATTTGCAATTTGATTTCATTAGCAAGGCCATTCTGTTCAACATGTTTGATAGCTCAACAACTTTGGATAACATCAACATGAATAAGTTACTGGATTGTCTTCATGAGTAGGGAGGTAGGGTTATTATGGTACAATAGTTTTGCTCCTACTTGCAGCAATTTATAAAAAAGTATTTATGCTTTTGAATTCTGGCAATTATGCCGTGGTGTACCATAAGGCTATTTTGTCCCGAGTGCTATTTTTTTTTATCTCTATGAAGCTGCTGAGAGTGGGGAAAGGAATCATCAATATGGTTCTCTACTCATCTCTATTTTTTTATAATATCTAAATCAGCATCTGACTGAAATGATGCAAAAAATGTAAGTCAATTAATTGAAGCAATGTTGACAAGGTGGAGAATGTGTAGATAGAAATGTAAACCTTGCTTATTTTCAGTGGGGTCACTCTGTCTTGGAAATGTTAGAAGATATCTGTGAATGTAAACAATATAATTGGATATCTAAATGACCTTTGAGGTGAGACACACCTCAAAGAAACTAAGCTAAAATATTTCTTAAACAAAGACTGCTAAGCTGTTACTGTATTGTCCATGCATTAATAATCTCATGCTTAGATTATTGTGACATGCTTTATATGGGGCTATCTTTTATCTGGCTTGGAAACTGAACTGGTATATGTGCATCCATGGAAGCAGATTCATTGCTATAATTAGTCACCTAGTCAGGTTAATAATTTTATATTTGGTATATAAGGCATTTTTATTTATTTATTCATTTATTTGTATCCTGTCTTTATTATTTTTACAAATAACTCATATCCAACATACCTTCCTCCTTCTATTTCCCCCACAATAACACAATGAGATGAGTTGGGCTAAGAGAGAGCAACTGGTCGAAGGTCATCCAGCTGGCTTTCATGGCTAAGGTGGGGCTAGAACTGATGGTCTCCCGCTTTCTAGTCTGATGCCTTAACCACTGGACCAAACTGGCTCTTATAGACCTAAATTACTGAGTTGTCAGGAGACATCCAACTGGGTGTGCCTGGAACCACAAAATGCCATATTGCAGTGATAGCACTGAGGCATTCTCTGTAATGATGGCTGTATTCTGGAATGTTCTCTCTAGTAAACATCATTATGCACTTCCTGTAACATTCTTCTTAAGATTTACCATTCACCTAGGCCTTTTACACGAATGTGGGATAAAAAGTTTTCTTTTTGTTAGCCTTTGTTTTCATTTCCCAGGGTTTCTTTCTCTTGCCTTTTTTTTTTTAAAAAAACCTTTTCATTTTGCATTTATATTTTATAATATCTGAGATTCATTTATATAGGAAGTAGCATAAAATATAACAATATCAATGACAAGATTCCTAAAAATCATAGGTGTAACTTCAAACGTTAACAGGATACGCCTAGGCATCAAAATACCATACATTTGTGCCTGCCAAGAAACAGGCATCCTGCTGTGTCTGATTTTTAATTTGTTTTAATATTATTTTAACATAAGCACTAATTGGAAGGCTGATGAGCTGCCAAACAAAGCACCAGACTTCAAGATCAACTTTATTTCTAAGAATATTTCTAGGCGCTACATGGACTATGCAATTATTTCACATGGGCTCATTAGCATGGTTGGAAAATAAAATTGTTGAGTAATTGCAGCCTAATTCTTCTGCTTAGAAATCAAGAATGGATGGGGTAACACTTAGCCAAAAGAGGAGCTTGTTGTAGAAAGCAGTTTTTTGGGAAGGCTAGAGGGAAGATGGAGAGCATGCTTATCAATTTACTTACTGCTGAGTTGTTGTTTTGTGAATGGCCATGCCCACCATGGTGGCTGTTTTGTAAATGGACAAAGTCTTCAAAGGCAGGCATTTTATAAGTGCATGCAAATTGTTTTCAAAATTCTAAATAGGTTTATGAGTTTGCCACACACAAACATATATAAACTTTTTCAGTCTCCAAGATCTGGGCAGTGTAAAAATGTATTCATAGCCAAAAATATGTCAGGGGACTTGGCCATAAAGTATCATGAAATGTCCTTTTCAGACATTTTTTTCCTGATCAGGAACAGCTTAAAAGATGCTACTCATTGACTATGCAAATGTTCATTGTATTTCATTTCCTGGGTACATTTTCAGTCGTTATTCTAATCACTCTGACATTTACACTTGAAGTGGAAAATTTTTCAAAATGAATTCTTCTTTAAGTAGAATAATCTCAAAATGAATGGATTCTGCACATGACACAGTTTTCTTTGGGCAGTTGAGTATTTTTTTTTTGAAACCTAAGATTTCTTCAGAGCTGTCTCTTTGTCTTCATTAACAACATATATATAAGAAAGCAAAGCAATAGATAACAGAATTTTAGAATTAGGAAGAAGATGATTCTCTTTTATTAGATTAAAATAATTTCAGAATATTTATTTATTTAACAAATTTATCAAATATCAAAACTATATGCTAAATGCGATTAAAAGGTCTACCTAATCCACTGTATTGACCTCAGAAGTCACCAGTCAAAATAACCTTTGGGGATTTTTGCCCCCAAAGATGCTGTTTGTTGCAAAGAGCATATAGAGAATAAAAAAAGAACCATGAGAGAACAATTTTCAACAAAACAAAAACAAAAACAGGAAGAACATTAAAATAAAACATCCAGAACATCAATACATAAGAATATCCCTTCTGGATCAATCCAATATTTACTTTATTCAGCATTTTGTATCAGATGTCTCTGGTTTGCTACAACCAGGAAGTGTAGCCCTGTAAGACCACTGGGTGGCCTTTCTCAACCAAACCTTCATAGGGATGTGTTGAAGGTCAGGAGTGGAGCACTATGTGTATTATCCTTTGCTGCAGCACCCAGGACATGTTAAAAAAAATCAATCAAATGTATAAAGAAATAAAGCATGGTCACAGTGTTCATTTGGGTTTGCATGGCATGTGTGGAGTCTCTAATTAATACATTCAAATTCTTAATCCTGTTTCTTTAAGAACTTTGAGGGAAGGATGAAGTTGCAAGATGTGATGCCTAAAATCTGCAAGATTAAAAAAAATTGCTTTAAGACATCATTTCTTAAACCACCCCATTTAATACATACATCCATTACCTGGTTTTATGATAATCCTCTTCTAGTCTCATGGATCAGGTTGGAAGGTGCAGTGCTGTTGATCCTGGTTTTTGGTGTGACATCCTGATAACAATCGCAGCTGCTGGATTATTAGCCTACATATGTGCTAGCATCAGAAACAAGAATGTTCTGATACTAATACATATTCTCAACCTTTACCTTCACACAGGAAGCATCAGCTCCTTTGCTGTGTCAGAATGAGATGAGGCCCCAAAGTATAAATAGGTGTTTAAAAGATGACAGTCAGAAAGCCCCAGGCCACAACATAGACCACTTCCTGATTTGTAAAGTGAGCGAATAAAGGTCTGATATCAAAGCTACTATTCAAGATGAAGTGACCGCAGAAGCATAGACACCCATCTGCATAATAATTGGCCATAAGTCAATAGATAGTTGCTTTAGAAATTGGAATCTGGACTACAAAAAAATCAAGACAATTGTATTCATGACCTGAACTGATGCACAGGAATACATATGAGCATTCCTTACCCCTAAGGCTACCACTTTATGTAATTTATGTTGCCCACATGATTGTGATCACAAGAGATGGTTGGTTTCCCAAAGGGTAATAGCTCAAGATTAAACCTGTGTACCAATATGACATGGCCAGAGTTCCAGTTTTCAGTTTGATTCAAGATTTCTGTGTACTAACCATGTGTTGCAAATCACAAAAAGCAAATTATTATTACAGCTATGGACCTCAGAAAGCTATATTACTGAACCAAGACACAGGTCTGAAACTAAGGTACTAAGTGAGTTAGTTGTGACTGTCAGCTTATCAAAGTTATACTTGAAAAAGTGATAACAGTGGGCTTTGCAGACCTGTGTGCCAGCTCACATAACAATGGGTGATGATATAATTAAAATTATTTACTGTGTACAGGATAAATACAGTAAATAGGTGAAAATTTTCCAGAAAACACACACACACAAATTCCATAGCTGCAAATAATATGTGGAAAACTCAAAAACTCAAGGAAAAAAGAAACAAGAGGGTGCCTTTTTAAAATTCCTAATAAAATTGGAAGATGAGCTAAACCACAGGGGATGCCAGAATATGACTTTGCCTAGGGCGCCAACATGTCTATAGCAGGCCCTGTTTTACCAAAGAAGAACATAAAATTAATCCTTGAAATCTTTTGGGCACAGTAAAAGATCTGTTTTTATTGGACTTCATGAATGTTAAGATTATTGTCTTAGTCCTGATCCCATTCTGTTAAAAGTTTTAGGTTCAGGGGGGAGTTAAGATTAAGAGTTTTGTAGATGAAATAAAGCTGTGAAATTAAGTTTTTCCTCTGCTAATTCCAGAAGTAAACAACTCATTTGAATCACACCAGTTTCTCAGACTCAAAACTTTTTTTAAAAATCCTTCTTATATGGAGCATCATTTAATATATAACTGCTACACGTAATTGCATGTTGATACAATTTGTCTTCTAGCCGGTGGTGGGATTTAGCCAGTTCATACTACTTCGGCAGAACCGGTAGCTAATTTTTTGTTGCCCAGGCCCAGAATGGACTTCCGGAAGTGGCATCCACACAAAGAACCGGTTGTTCACATATTTGAATCCCACCACTGCTTCTAGCCATGGGGAATTCTTCCGTGATGCTACTGGAATGATCCTGCTGTAAGAATGATTGCTGCTGGCCTGTTAGCCTTTCCAAGAGCATCTGAAAGGAGTAACTTGGTGCAGGATCTCAAATTTGCACTTATTTTCAGCATTTGTCTTCAGAGAAGATGAGATGAAAATCTGTGACATTTCTACAGTTTATATTTAATATGACTCTCGCATCCCTTCCTCCCTGCATTTAAATGCCTGCTTTCCTCCTCCTCCTCCTCCTCCTCCTCATGCCAAATGTTTGAGTCAGAGAAAGTGGACAAAAGAGTTTGCATAAGCTCATTCACACACCACAGTAAGTGGGGTTTGGCTTAACCAGGATTGCTTATATTAACCACAGTTGACTGTTTGACAACATACCAAGTCATAAAAGTGTGGCAGGCAAACCATTTGCTGCTGGGGTCCACTCTTTACTATTTTTTGTGAGATTGCCTCTGAAAGTCAGAGGATTATGATAGTAACTAAAAACATCAACAGAGCAGATGAAACCATCTGCAGGGTATACATTTAAATGGCATAGGTGTATTAAACCTAGCAGAAGTTCAATGCATTTAATTTTTACACACAAACTACAAAAGTGAAAAATCATACCAATGAAGTTTATTGATACAATTCTGGAAAGTTCTGAAGGCTGCAAATAAGGAGTTGGAGGAACTATCTACCCTTACTGTAGATATTTATCATAGCTAACTATTTTCAGTGGCTGGATTTAACAATTGCTAGATGATAAACAAACCATATTTTGCCTTATTGAGATGTCTGAGTAAACTCTGAAGCTGAGACTATATCCTAAGACTATATATTTAAGCAAGAAAGACATTTTCAAATAATATATTTGAATTAATGTATTTAACTTTAGAGTCATAATTCCTTGGCTTTGTGCATCAGTTCATATGGTTTATTGCTTGAGGACTGTAAAAGCCAGTAATGAATTGCATGTGTGTGAAAAAGCTATCACAGATCCAACAGCCTCAGGAGCTATCGGCCACAGCCTGAACTTTTATATTACGTCCAGTTACTATTGACTGTTTATTTAATAAATCACAATGGCTGGGTTCACACATGGTCTTTGTTACTTCATTTACTTCGTTTTGCTAAATAAAAAACGGTGGGTGTGTCAAAGAATGTTTGTTGGAAATGTGTGATTTATCTGTTTTGGAAAAGGCAATATTTTCTGTTAATCAAAGGAGGCAGCAATATGTGTTTTATTTGACAGATATGTTGTGGTATAATAATCATCAATAGTTCCTATTATATTCATTAGTAAACCAGTGACTATTGAAAAGTTTAAAATGAAAGACTTTTTTTCCTTTCCTCCCTTTTTTAGTTTGTATTTTCAATTTGTATCATTAATTTAAAAAAAAAACACATTTTTTTTAAGATTAGAAAGAACAAGATAGAGAAATCTCCTACTCTTTGCTAATATCTGGTGATCATTATAATTTTTTTTCAGTCCAGATCTTGTAGTTCTGATTTATGGATCCTCACATGATGAGGCATCAAGTCATTTAAGTTTAATCTATCTTCCTCTTTTCCCACCATGGGATTTTAGGATTTTTAATCTGCATGTTTGTGGAAGAAAACTGAAAACTGAGCTTAACAAAACCTGTTGCCCAGTTAAAGACTGGATTTGTTTTAATACACTCATTGTGGTTTCTGAATTAACTCATTTTCTCAGTTCACATGATACACTGAATCTAATTAACCAAACCTGCTGACCTCACACAATACATTAAGCCACGAAGGAATGAATAGATTAATGACACCACTAAGTCTTTAACTGATCTGGTTAAAGATGTCATTATGCAAATCTAACTGCTCTGTTGCTCCAGGTCTGGAGAAACCATTTCTTGGCAGCTGTCAGCAGAGTAATCCAGTTGTGCTGACTTACCCATTTTGACACAAAGGAAGCAATACAAGGCATTATCAAAAGAGACGGTCATAAGACTCTTTGCAATAATTGAAATTCTAGAAATCCAAGAAAGAGTTATCTTCTCAGATTACTGCTAAAGAAATAAGGTAATAAGAGATAAGTACTGTAGATCACCTTCTACTTCAAATACTCATCACTTAGTCTGAAGAGAATACCTATTAGTTCATTTAAGTTAAAAAATCTGCAGTGACCTAATTTTGCACTGCTTACTTGCAAGTCCCATTGATTTCAGCAGGAGAGAATTAAGGATAAATGTCTCCAGATTTGCATAATTATATATAACACTAGATAATATAGCTTTTGTACCAGGCCTCCAACATGGAATGGCAGGTGTTAAAATGATATGGGTTTTAGCCTCAGGGTGTTTCACTAATTTTATATCTATATTATTTTAAAACGCCCATCCTATTTAAATAACCTAACTGAAATGAATATAATTAGTGACCATGAAAATTAGAGTGAGAGAAGATGGGACAAAAAAATAAAGATGGTATTGGAATGGAATATTCCAGAAAAGAATATTGAACAGAAATGCTCCTTGTTCCAGTTTGCTCTGTTCTTGCGACCACACCTGCTTGAGCTGCAGGCATTAGAAGGCACAGCTTTGTCAAATACTGTCATTTTCTAATATATGCAGATTAAACTGCTATAAAATCCCAGGAGCAAAAGTTAGTGGAGAAAGCCGTTGGCAACCCTGTGACTACACATGCCACTTCTTAAAATGTCCAGATACTCCTCAGTTCTTTCTATCTTGTGACCATTTCATCCTGAGCAGAATTTGGTTGCAAAGAGCTCTTTTGAAATTACACTAAAATATTGAAATATACATGTTGATTCCAGTCCCAAGATGGTACCTCTCCTGTCTTATTCAGGCTTTTGGGAAAGTTTTATCAGGCTGTTGGCACAGAGCAGTTTTATGTAGCCTCCAGTACCTTACTGGGTCATAGCACAGAAAACCTTTTTCGGGACTGATGTGACTCAGATTTTGAACCACCTTATCAAATACCAGGAACTTAGAAGCTGCTTAACTTTTGTGGCTGAAACCCTTGTTTACCAGCTAGCAGTACTCAGCCTGTTGGTCTTCAGATGAAGCGCAAGCAAACAAGTAGGGAAGTCTGACTTCTTAGCTGATAGCTGTGCCTCAGCAAGGAACCAGTAAAGGTAGTGGTTCAAACATCTACTAATCACTTCCTTAATGTGGGAAATGAGTTCTGACAGAAGGCTGGACCAGCAGGTTCTGCCCAAGAATTTGCCTGTATGCACTCAAAGAGGTTTTGACTACTAGGTCAAATCAGATATTAGGATAAATTCGTATGAGTACACCTGGGAAATAGGGGAGGATCTAAGCTTTACCTCCCAGGGTCAACCGCCCTTTCCTCCCCCCCCCCCCAAAAAATCTTATGTTGAAGAGCTGTATCTTTCCTCCCTCCTCCACAGAAGGTGACATGGAAATGTGATATTGAGCTTCACATTACAGCCTCTGCCTAAATCTGAACTAGTAGTGCAAAAGTGGGGAGAATATAGTAGAATAGGAAGTTTTTTTCTTGAGCTTCTGCCATTGTTTGCAAGATTTCCCTGCTTCTAGTCACTGCTATATGCACTGTCTTTTAATATTGTGTTACTTTGGAAAAAAAGTGATA